GGGGCCAGGGAGATGGCTCAGTGGAATATGCACTTCCCTGGCAAGCGCAAGGGCCTGAGTTCAATCCCCAGTTCTGCCAAAATAAATAAATAAATAATCATAATCATAATCATAATAATTAAATAGAGAGAACTTAATTGTCATGACAGTTAAAAGGGGCCTGTTTTGGGAATTTGGCTATTATTTCTTCCTTTTTTTTTTTTTTTTGAGACAGTGTCTCACTGTTAGTTCAGGCTGGCCTAGAACTTATTATGTATCTTAGGCTGGCCTCAAACTCACATTGATCCTCCAACTGCTGGGATTACTGGCATGTACCACCATGCCCAGCCTCTCTTCATTCTCATTAAGGCCAGGTAACAACTCATTTTCAGTTTGTGACTTGGAACTTCAGCACAGTGACTCCATCTTAGTCCAGTGTAGTGGGATTTACTCTGGTAGCTGAGACCAAAGTAATGGCTGCCTATGAGCCTGGAACAATGGATCACCCCAAATCAATACAACTAATACTCTGCCCGCAGCACTGTTGCTGCTGCCATCCATGTACTTGAATTACCACAATTCTTCCCCTTCCCCCTGCCTCCTCTCTATCCTGTAGGAGACACTTCCAGGTCCTCGTCTCGGTCCAAGAAGCCAATATTTGTAATCCCAAAGTTACGTTACTGGAATCCCATCAAATTGATTCCAATCTACCACTTACAATGCAACCCATGGCAAAAATAAAGACACTAAATTATATTTTCAATCATAGGGGAGTCAAGGGGCTCTAAGTCCAGCCACAAAGATGGTTTTCTGGAACCAAGAGAGCGACCCAGGGCCTCACCCGGTTTTTATTCAGTAGAGGAGTGGCTTGAGGAGGGTGGACTGAGAATTGTGGGAAGTAGGTGATCCTTGTGAGCTGAGCTAGGTGGGTGGCCTACATTTACCTCTGCCATATGCAGAGAGGATATGCAGAGAGAGTAATCTGCATTATGTGGTATCTAATGTTTTGGTAAGTCTGGTGCTTCAGCTTTGGTGTAGCCTTTCAAGCCCCGGGAAGTCACAGCCTCTATCTCAGGCTCCATCCCAGCTGGCAGCAGGGAGCACTAGCTCTACTGTCTTGGCTCACATTAAAGAGCAGCAGGTATAGGTTACCAGGGAAACACGCATGCCACCTTGAAAGACTATCACCAGCACCGCAGCTAGACCAATAGACATTGCTTAAGGCCAATTGGAGGATAAACAGAAGTCCTGGCCAGCTCTGTGCAGAACAATAGGAGGAAATAGGGTGAGGCTCAGTCAAAATGGAGACAGTCGCTCTTCTTTCAAGGAGAACAGCTCAGGTGGTCCTCCACACTATCCTTCCAATTTTTCCTTTCCAATGGCTCTAGACTAACCTGAGGTCCATTTATCAAGAAATACTTACGGCAGATCACAGCCCTTTCCAGCTCAAAACCTTGCATGGCTTTCCATGAAGTGACCCTCAGTTAAATATTTTGTGGTAAATCCAAAAAGTATTTACAACGAACAGAAACAGCATGATAGTGGGGTTTTTGGTGTCTCAGAGATCATTTAGGGGCAGAGAGGAAAGCAGGAAGTCCTTGTTTGCCCCAGCCTTTTGAAATGACAATCTAAGGGCCACCAGGGACAGGTGGGAGGAGCAGCCTGGCAGCTGGGGCTGAAACAAGGCTTTGTTCCCAAGTCCACGCGGCGCGGCAGGGTGCCCAGCACAGCCCCAGCCTCCCTGGCTCCCTCCAGGCAGGACAAGGGGGGCTGGTGATGCACATCTGCCCTGCTCTGTGCAGGCAGGAGCATGCCTGAGTAGCTCTCCACATGCAGTGGAAGGCAGAGAGGAGGGGTAGGCGAGATAGCGTAGGAGCCTTGGGCCCATTGACTGAGCATCTATCATGGTTTGGGGATTGTTGCCAATTTAGTCCATGACAGCGTCCTGTAGCTGGGTGTGGTCAGGTTGTGCTGCTGCCCTGCTTAATACACAAGAGGCACAGAAGGGAGGGCCCTTGTCTTTGGTCACTCAGGTCAGTCAGACCTTTCACACAGATCACACAGATCAGAGCCAGGATCCTCACACTGGTCTGATTCCAGAGCTTCTGTTCTGGCCTGGTACCATACTAGTCTCCTCCACAATTTCACTTTCCACAGTTTATATTATCCATGGTCAGCAGGAATCTGAAAATATCAAGATGGAAAATTCCAGAAATAAACCATTCATAACTTTCAGATGGTGTGTCACTGAGCAGCATGGCGAAATCTCAGATCATCCTGCTTCTGCCCACCTAGGGGTGAATCTCCCTCTGTCCAGTGTCTTCTTATCACAGTATTTGCCCATTATTCTTTTTTTTTTTTAATTTTTTATTTTTTTTTAATTTTATTTACTTATGTGTGTGTATGTGTGTGTGTGTGTGTGGCCAGCTCAGCCCACCAGGGGGCGGGCTGGCTGGCATGTGGTGCTGGGGGATTGAACCGCGGCCCCTGTGCTTTAGCTAAGCTTGTTCTAAGTAGGTGCTTTAGACCACTGAGCCATCTCACCAGCCCCCCATTATTCTTCACTTAGTAGGTGTTTTGGTTATCAGACTATCACCCTGACTGGTATCACAGTACTTGTTTTCAAGTAATCCTTGTTTCATTTAATAGTGGCTCTAACATCTCTAATCCTAGCACTCAAGAGGTGGAAGGAGGCCGGCCAGATAGTTTAGCAGATTAAAGCGCCTGCTTAGGTAGATGCAAGGACCAGGGTTTGATCCCCAGCGTGCCATGCAAGGGCACACGGAGACAGCAACTGAGACTGGGAGTGGTGGCGTGTGCCTGTAATCCCAGTGCTTGGGGAGCTGAGAACAGGAAGGATTACTACAAGTCTGATCTGTGTAGTGAGACCTTGTAGACCCTGTACTGAATACATTAAAAAAAAAAGCAGAAGAAGACAGGAGGATCTCCTTGATTTTGAGCCCACCCTGGGCTACATAGTGACTTTAAAGCCAGCCTGAAGCACCTGAATTATAGAGACCCTGTCTCAAATCAAAAAACCCAAAGTGAGAGAGCAGCGATGGTAGTTTTAGATATGTCGAAGAGAAGCTGTAAAGTGCTTCCTTTACATGGCACAGCAAATGTTCTGAATAAGGAAAGAGAACAATCTTTAAGAAAAGAGAATAATCTTGTGCTGAAAATTGCTAAGACTTACAGTTAGCAATCTTCTGTGAAATTGTGAAGCAGAAAAAAAATTGGTGAATATATATATATATATATATATATATATATATATATATATATATAATTTCAGGGTCTCACTACACAGATCAGACTCGTAGTGATCCTCCTGTTCTCAGCCTCCCAAGCACTGGGATTACAGGCATGCAGCACCATGCCCAGTCTCAGTCGCTGTCTCAGCACTCCTGGGGTTGGGGCTGGCATGGTAGCATGGCAGCCAGGGATCAGACCCTGGTCCCTAAGTCTGCCTAAGCAGGCGCTTTAGTCTGCCGAGCTATCTGACCGGCTCTGGTGTTAGTTTTGCTGTTGCAACTCCAACTACAAAAATTACAGCTACGGTGTGACGTGAATTCTTAGTTAAGAGAAAAGACATTAAATCTGGTATGTGTGAGAAGGAAAAACAGTGTATAGGGTTCAGTATTATCTGCAGTCTCAGGCATCTGCAGGGGTCCTGGGTAAGGAGGAGCACTGTATTGTCTTCCACCTACTTCTGGCCACATACATGCTTGCTGTGACAATTGGCCCCCACAAATGGGGGGCCCACTCCTGAGTCACCCAGGAGGATCTGTGCACCCAGTGCCATCTAGCCTGATGTTTTGCGTGGCCAAGTCTGAGAAGGAATCTGGGGATGCCCAAGCTGCACAAGGACTGGGCTGGGCCGGTGGCATCTCTGAGTCACAGCGAGGGTGGGTGGTGGCTGACTCAACTCAACCAGGGCCACTTCCCCTCCTGCAAGGCCAGCTGGGGCAGTCTGGGGCCAGGAAGCTGGCTGGCATGACAATCCTTTATATTCTGGTTACATGCAGGAATGAAGGGCTCCTCCTTGAATGTCAGTCTGCCTACATCCCAGCCCAAGCCCAGTCTAGGTCCTTATCCTTGGGCCCAGTGGCTGTAGGACCTCAGAAATGGGGAAGCAGCTACCTCTGATAAAAACAGAAGCTGGCACCATCATCCCCATCCTCACCTACTGTCCACGAGCTCTTCATTCAGATCTTCCCCTTGGGGATCACCAGACACATTTGGAAACTGAGGCCAAGAGAGGGAGGCTATTTACCCGAGGTATAGTAAGATAGGAAGCTGTTAGGTTCCAGGTCTCCATGCTCCAGGCTAAGTCCTTATTTTTATCTCTGAAGAAGGTTGCTAGACACAGGAGTTAAGCTAAGAAGTGTTGTGACAAAATTGGAGAGGGCATCAGGGAGGCTCCTGGAGGGGAGTGGATTCCTGCCCTAGATTCTCTGCATGGGAGCCCTGCTCCCTGCAAGACCCATGGGCTAACCTAGAGGGTTCTCTGCTAAGTGTTCGCTGTGTTTCTCTCTTTCTTTTTAGGCTTTCTTTAAAGAAGGGCAGCATGTTTAGGTTTTGTTCCCTGGGCAGGGGGTAGGCAGGAGAGCAGAGGAGACTGCAGAACCAGAGCCCTAGACAGAAGGAACAGAAAGCAAAGGCTCCAAGTGCCCCAGTGTTGTGGTCAGGAGGCTGGAAGCCAAAACCCAAGGGGAAGAGAAGTGAGACAGGAGTCTGGCAAAGCCCAGGGCCAGTTCCTGAGGGCCTTGTGGTCTCGGATGGGAAGTTTTGACAGAGCCATGTGGAATCACAGAGCATATATGAGTTTTAGAAAGGTCCCTCTGCATGGAAGAGGCAGGAGACAAGTGAGGGCAGAGCAAGGAGGAACCCACTGCTGCCACCCAAGAGATGGGCAGTGGTAGTCTGGGCAGACCGTGGCAGGGCCTGGTGCCTGCTGGGTAGCCCACCATTCTTCCCTACTTTGTGATCTATACCCCTAAGGAATGACACAGGTGTACAAGCAAAAAATAGTTTATTTAAGGAGGGAAGACCCAAAACTGGGGGGCCCAGGAGCAAGGCCACAGCAGCTGCCTGGAGTTGGCATAGACCATCCCAACTCCCTGGAAGAAGCCCTTTCTCCGCTGCCCTCCCTGCTGGAGGAAGGATTGTACAACTGTCAAGAATTATCACCATCATTGTCATTGTAACCCATGGAAGGTGTCCAAGTTTGCCCAGCAAATTTTGGCATAGTAGTTGATATTAATGAAAACGATTACTCTGACAAGCACAGTGACTGTGCCTGGCTTGGACCCACCATCCAGTGGTGGGTGCGGTCTGTGACAAGGTGAGGCAGGCGGGAGGGAGGCAGGTCCCTCTGGGAGACCCTGTTCCAGCCTTCCAGGCACCCTCTAAGAAGAGCCCATCTCTCTTGGCTGCAGCAGCAGCTGCCTGCTGTCCCTGTTCCCACAGCCATTGGCCATGGTTGAACTCAGGCAGGGGCTGTCTGAGGTGAAACTCACGAGCTTCCCCAGGTCTCAAAGCCCCTTGTCAGGCTGGTCTCTCCGCCACAGTCCCCGGCGAACTGCCCACGAGGCCACAAACTCGCAGTTGTGGTAAAGGAACATTCCTGAAAGGGTAAGTGCGATGCCCACGTAGCTGAGGGCACTGAGGTGGCTACCAAACAAGAGGTGGGATAAGATGAGGTTGCCCACAACAGTGAGGTTGCCCAGGACATGGACAGTGAGAGGAGATGTGAGGGCCAGCAAGGAGAAACTGGCCAGGTTATAGACCACAGACAGGATGCAGCTGAGCAGGACACAGGTCCAGAGGTGGGAGTCCGTAGGCGCGGGTGGCAGAGCCACACCAGCCTCCAGCACCAGGGTGGCGCCCGCCAGCAGGCAGAAGCTGGGCATCGAGGTAGCATACAGCAAGGTCACTGCATCCAGCCTTTTCTCCTGCAGCAGGGCACCTGTAGAGAGGACAGTAGCCATCAGAACTCTGTTGCAAGACAATCCCCTACTTAATTTGAGTAGGGTTGGCTGCTCTTGCTTAAATGTTCACTCCTGACCAGCTGTGCCTGAGCTTGGCTCAAGGCTACTTTACTTGCTTCTTCATTTGGAGATTTGGGCAAAAGTAAAACCTAATGTGTTCAGTAACTTTAAAATTTAACAAAGATAACTTACACAAAGCCTTAATAAGGTAAGTGCTCAGCAAGACATTAAATTAAAAAACAAGCCTGCTTACCTATAATAATAAAAAAAAAAAAACCTGACCAGGTGTGGTGCACAGCTGTAATCCTACCACTAGTTTTTGTTGTTGTTGTTGTTGTTTGTTTGTTTTCTGTTTTCATTTTTTGGGGGGAGGGGGTATTTCTGTTTAGCTCTTTGAGACAGGGTCTCACTATATCATTTAAGCTGCCCTTGAACTCACTCTGTAGCCCACGCTGGCCTCAAACTTGCAGTAACTCTCCTGCCTCAGCCTTCTGATTGATGAGATTACAGGTGTGTGCCACCATGCCCAGCTTTTTTTTTTTTTCTTTCTTTCTTTCTTTTGGTCAAATCCTAGCACTTGAGAGGTTGAGGCAGGAGTATCACCATGAGTTTAAGGCCAACATAGGCTACATGGTAAATTCAAGGCCAGTCTGAACTTCATAGCAAGACCCTGCCTCAAAAAAAAAAAAAAAAAAAAAAAAAAATCAACATAAAGGCTCATTACCACCCATTTCAAACCCATTTCCCACAGAATGAAAATAGTAATCTGCTTGAGATAACCAAATCACCAATAAACATGAAAGGGGGTGTGTGTGAAAAAAAGATGTGTTGGGGCCAGGGTGATGGCTCAGTAGAATAAGCACTTGCTGGCAAGTGCAAGGAACTGAGTTCAATCCACAGTTCCACAAGAAAGAAAAAAAGAAAAGAAAAGAAAAGAAAAGAAAAGAAAAGAAAAGAAAAGAAAAGAAAAGAAAAGAAAAGAAAAGAAAAGAAAGAAAAAGAAAAAAAGATGTGTTACATACATGTACCAACTCCCATGATGAATGTAACCATTATGTGTTAGATATGCACATTAAAAATAAAAATTTAAAATAATAAACACACAAAAAAATGGCTCAAAAAATGGCACAAAATCTTCAGAGGACTCTCCAAGCCTTGGAACAAGCTTTCCTAGCTTCTGCTTTTGGCGTTTTAGGCAGTGCCTATGTAGTTCAAACTGGTCTTGAACTCACTAGCCCAGGCTAGCCTTGCAGGGCTCCTCCTGCCTCAGCCTTATGTGCTGGATTATAGGTGTGTGCTGCTCCCACAGCCCTTGATCCACCCTTTTTAGCATCAGCCCTGATCATACATTCTATAGCTCCGGCTGCTTCAGAGGGACAGGCCAGGAGAGGGTCCTAGCACTGCCACTTAGCAAATGGGAAAAAGGAAACTAAGGAGAGGGTTGGAGGAGGAGGAAGAGTGTGAGGGAGGAGGAAGAAAGGGGGAGGGAACTTTATTGTCTTCTTGGTAGTGGGGATTGAACCCAGGGCCTTGGCACTGAGCAACATCTTCAGCCTTGATTCTGTTCTTTGAGATAAGATCTTGCTAAGGCACCTAAGCTGGACTCAAACTTGTGATCTTCCTACCTCAGATTCCCAGAGTGCTGTAATTATAGGCATGTGCCACCACACCTAAGAAGAGATTTTCAAAATATTTTTTAAAGAGAGTATAAAATAGTATTAAAATAGAAAAATTACAAGTGATTCAGAATTTCACTTAACAGGGCCAGCCAGATAACTCAGAGGATTAAAGCATTTGCTTAGGCAGACACGGGCTGGGGGTTTGATTCCTGGCCTGCTGGGCCAGCCCCACCCCCAGGGCACGCTGAGATAGCGATTGAGACTCAGCATGGTGGTGCCATGGTGGTGCCATTGTGACTCGGCATGGTAGTGCACACCTGTGATCCTAGCATTTGGGAGGCTGAAAAACAGGAAGGATCACTACAAGTCTGATCTATGTAGTGAGACCCTATAGATCCTGTACTAAATACATTTAAAAAAAAAAAAAGAATTCCACTTAACAAAATATGAATTTGACAGTATTTGCTGTAATACATAGTGTTGTCTTTCAGTTAGTCATATTACCAAATATATGCATGTAAAATTGGAAGAAAGAAAAAAAAGAAATTAAGAAAAAAAGGACAAACAATTGCAAAAAGGAGATGACACAAAACATTAACTGCTCCTTTCACAGACCAGCAGAAATGCACAGTACAGGTGTCCAGGTCATCCTGCTTACATATATAGCTATCTCTTTCCCCACCCTGTCTCCTGTCCTCCTCAACTCAGTAATTCCTTCCTTTTGAACAGGTTCATTCCCTTCTACCAGTATCTATTGTACCCTTCAGATTGTATTTTCTCTTTTAGGCTCTCACACTAAGGAAGCAACATGATGTTTGCACATGCAAAGCTGATTTATTTCACTTAAAAGAGTATGGCCTCTAGTTGCATCCATTTACCGATAAAAGCCTCAAATCTATCCTTTTTATAGCTGAACAATATTCCACTGTGTAAAAATACCTCATCACCTGTATCCATTCCTCAATTGATGAGCATTTGGGTTGTTTCCAAGATTTAGCTATGACAAATTGTGCTGCTGTACACATGGGTGCACATATATCACTGTCATATGATGCTCTCAGGTCTTCTGGAAAAGTACCCAGGAGGGGAAGAGCTGGGTTGAATGGGACCTCCAATCCTAGATTCCAGAGGAATCTCCACACTGATTTCCATAGTGGTTGTACCAGCCTGCACTCCCACCAATAGTGGAGAAGGGCTCCTTTTTTCCCCACAGCCCCTCCAGCATTTATTATTGGCTAACTTCTTAATGTTAGTCATTCTAAGAAGAGATTTTTTAACATTTTTTTTTTTTCATTTTGTGTATTTGGTACAGGGTCTCACTGCACAGCTTGGACTCTTAGTGATTCTCCTGTTTTCAGCCTCCCCAGGGCTGGGATTACAGGTGTGCGCCACCACACCTGGACTCAGTTGATGGCTTAATATGCCCCAGGGCTGGGCCTACATGGCCTGCTGGACCAGGGATTGAATCCTGGTCCCTATGCTTGCCAAAGCAGGTGCTTAGTCTGCTGAGCTATCTCATTGGCCCTTGGAAGAGATCTTTTCCTACCTTTTTTTTTTAATGTATTTTAGGGGCTGGTGATTTGGCTCAGCAATAGAATGCTTCCCTAGTAAGCTGGAAGCCATGGGTTCAGCCCTCAGCAATAAAAATAAAAAACAAACTTCCCCTTAAATGTATTTTAGTATGGGGTCTCCAGGATCTCACTATACAGATCGGACTTATCGGATTTGTAGTGATCCTCCTGTTTTCAGCCTCCCAAGTGCTGGGATTATGGGTGTGCACCACCACACCTAGTCTCAGTTGCCATCTCAGCACACCCTGGGGGCGGGGCCAGCAAGAGATTTTTAAAATAGACTGGTGCCACATATCTATAATCCCAGCATTAGTGAGGCTGAGGGACTGCCATGAGTTCAAGGTCAGCCTGCACTACACAGTGAGACCCTATCCAAACAAACACGCAGTAAAAATGATTAGTCCATTCATTGCTGCATTCACCTAAGGACCATTGGGATGGAAAGGGCTCAACAAGAAAGTCCTTGTTGACTCTTGGCTGTCACTGACTGTTTATGACTGATTATCAGCACTGCTTGCTACCCACACTGGAGCCTACTGAGTTAAGTCCAGGACTCAGAGGACACCTTTCAGCTTTTCAAGGAAAGAGATGATCCTGCCACTGTGCACAGATGTGACACAGACTTCCAGCTGGCTGCTTTGCAAAGGAAGCAGAACCATGATCAGCAGCAGACAGCCCAGGTACTGTAAGGTATTCACTCGAAGGCTGCGATGGTGGGCGCCTTCTCCACATGGCAGAGTAGAGACAGGAGTAATCAATACCGGTCCCCACCCAGACAGCCTGCGTCTACTGACACACACTTTCCAAAGGGCGAGAGGTGCTTAGTCACCAGCCTATGCTTAGAATAGGAAACTTTAGTCCTTTCTCGATTTCATTCTGATGTTTTGGCCTCGTTCTCTAGGCAACAGGCCTTCCAGCTCAAGCTTTTTAAGAAAACAGATAATTGGAATGCCTCCCTTTTCAAATTTGGCACTCTTACACAGCCTATGGCCTGCATGCTAACGGTTAAGATGGGAAGGCTTTGGGTTTGCGGGTGAACTTTACCTTTGGTGAATCTCATCCTCACAGGGAGCCCCATTTAATCTTCCCATCTCACCCCTTGCACATCTGTCCTGCACCCCACCTGACCCCTCAGCTTCCCTCCCTGCAACAGGGGAAAGGGCTGTGAGTCCAGCACAAGTGATTCACCCCCAAAATGCCAGCCTGTCTTTCTGCCTCTTAGTGACTCCTCCACCTGCCAACCTCCAAGCCCTTCAGTTGTAACCTCTACTTCTCCAAAGGGTTTTTTGTTTGTTTGTTTGTTTGTTTTTTGGCTGTTGTTACTTTTGAGCCAGGGTCTCTTTGTAGTGCATGCTGGCCTTGAATTCACTGTGTAGCTCAGGCTGGCTTCAACCTTGAGACCCTCTTCCTGCCTCAGTTCCTCAAGTGCTGGGATTACAGGCATGTACTTCCACACCCACCCTCTAAGGCATTTTTGTTTCAGAACTCAACAGCACTCCCAAGCTTCACCACACAAGCTGACCTTCTCTAAGCCCTGGCCACTTGATGTTGGCTGGTTCCCTCTACCCCTTCCTTGGCTGTGTGATTCAGTCACCTTTTCTGTGTGTCTGAGTCTCATATGTAACACAGGGAGGGTGATGACATCCTTCTCACAGGAGTGCGTGTGTTGCTCAACGCAGCGCTGATGCCCAGTGCAAGCTCACCATGGCAGTGGACCCAATCTCCCCTGCTCTGCTCCTGCTAGCTGGCACCCAGGGTCCTGGCAGTGTATTGCCCATTCTTTGTTGCTGTCTAGGAAGAGCGGGACAGTGTAGCCCCTGGCAAGGGCTCAGTAAGTGCACTGTCATGAATACATTATTTCCATTATCATCGTTACAGGCCTCCTCACCTAGCAGCCTTCTCTGATCTCCCAGGAAGCCCATGCCCCTACCACACCCGTGTGCACCTTGACTCCAGAACGTCTGTCCTACCAAATGCATCTCCCAATCAGCCCAAGCACTCAGAGATCAGGGATTTAATCAGGCTGCTTGTGACATAGGTACAGCCAAGAACAAGCTCAGGAGGGTGGGACTCCACTGCCCAGATTTTCTCTGCATAGGAGGATGATGTGGCCTCAACCTCTCCTTACGTCACTCCCCTGCAACTGGCCTGGGTGGAAGGGAAACTTCTGGCCCTGCCTACAGATGCTTGATGTCCTCTCTTCCTTCACCCTTACCCTCTGCTCATCTGGTGTCTGCTCCCAGTGAAGGAGCTGCTATCAGCCATTCTAGTCTGAACAGGACTCTGGAGCCTAGGCCAAAAGAAATCTCCTTTTAAACCCCATTTTATTCAATTCACTCCTCCCCATCTCAGCCAGGCTCCCTTCACTGACGGGACCTCCAGTTTCCTAAGCTCCCTCCTTAGTGCTCTGCACCACGTGGAATGACTATGCTACTAAAGGCCATCAATGAATTCATCCTTTAAGGAGTAGCTGTTCTGTGTTAGGTCCCAGGTCAAATCCTGGGGGCACAGAGATGCTCCAAAGCCTATCTGATGGGAAGCAGACAGGTAATCCAGGTGTAACAATAACAGGGCGTTTAGAGCCCAGAACACATACCACCCTACAGCCTCCCAGGTGAGGCAACTGAGACTTGGAGGGAAGGGGGGAGCTGGCAGAAGCTAAGAAATGGTCTGATGTCAGGTACCCCAAATACCCTGAATCCTGGCTGGCTCTGGCCCCTCCCACAGTCTTGGGGGCCAAGGGCTCTGTGTGAGGAGCACTGGACCTCAGCAGGTACAATGTGCTCCAGAGGTGGGGATTTCTCAGCCTCATGTCCCTGCCCAAGAGGGCCCCACAGGGTCAGGTTTCCTGGAGTGGACTCATGCCCAGAACTCATGCCTGAGCTCAGGCTCCAGCTCATGTAACCTGAGGGCAAAAATAGAACAGGGCTTTGGCTCTGCCTCAGGCCCAGGAAGGTAAGGACAAGATGTCTGGGTCCAGGCTCTGACACAACATCAGGAAAGGCCTGAGCTCTAACTTCAACATGGCCCTCACTTCAGCTGCCCTCAAGTTAGGCATTAACCTTGGAGAGCTCCTCCCATTCTCCCTTTCCCAGGCCTGTCTCACAGATCTCACAGCTGGGGGGTGAAGTAGATACAAAGTTCTCTTTGGACTCCACCAATTGGCCCTCTACTCCTGAACAGGAGGGGAGACTGAGGGCCAGAGAAGGTGTAGGCCTGCCCAAGGTCACCCAGCAAGTAAGAGCAAAGGAATGGCAGGAAGCCAAGCCTCCCTTCCCTAAGTACCCAGACCTGTCCTGGGTCTTCCTTGGGTTGAAGCAGAGAAAAATTTGGGGCTGTACCTCAGCTATCCCTCCACAGAAAAAGACAGGAAGCCAGCTTCCATCCTCAGGCAGGCTGATCTAGCAGGGTCTAGACCTGGAGCTGTAGCCCTATCTACAGATCAGAGCCCCACTGTGAGCTCTCATTAGAGCCAGAGTTCAGAGTTCCACAGACTAGACTTCAAGTCCTTAGGAGCCATGTACTCCTATGCCAGTCAGAAATTTCTTAGGGTCTTAGTCCCATCACCTGGAAGTGGGGATAAGGTGGTAGTTGCTATGACAACTGAAGACCAGCATCCAGCACTAGGCCTGCCACACTATAGCTCATAGTCAACATCAGCATTTCCTATATTCTGCCAAATCCTTGCCTTCCAAATCCCAGCTTACAATGACAGACTTCTCTCTTTCTCTGGTCCATGTTTTCTGGCCTCCCTCTGGTCCTCAGCCTTACACATCTCTTGAACAGCACAGGCTCTAAGTGGCTGCATTCAAACCTTTCTACTGCTACTCATTAACACACAGCCATAAGCAAGCCCTTCCCCCTCTCTACAAAGGGGACATTATGGTACCTATCATTGATCAAGGGCTGTACTGGGATTCGGAGCAATAAAAGGCTTGACAAGGCATGGAACACAGATCAATGGCAACTATTATTAAAGACTGGCTAGGCCTCCAGAAAGCCTTGGTCTGGCACCTAAATGGAAATTACTGAGCTCTTGGACCTCTATGAACCTCAGTTTCCTCATCTGTAATATGGGACAACAGCCACACCTTTCACCAGGAACTCCAGGCTAACCACCCACCCCAAGTTCCATCTCCTTAGATGGAAGATACTCACTCTGCTGAACGGACTTGAGGCCTCGGAGACAGGTGGCCACCAGCAGGAAGCCACAGCCTGCAGGGGGTGCCCGGAGTTCCCCAGCCAGGCTACAGGCAGCCCCCAGGCAGAGAGGGCCCATAGCAGCAAACTGCAGTGGGTGGTGGCGACGGCCAAGCAGCAGTGCAGACAGGGCCAGCGTGAACAGTGGCGTGGTGGTCGTGGCCAGCTGTGCCAGGTCCAAGGGCACAGTGCTGAGGCCCACGTTGCCGCAGGCCATCGAGGTGCCGAAAGTGAGGCTGAGCAGCAGCACTTGGCGACGGGTGCTCCGTGGCACGGGGCGCCGTGCCCCCCAGTGGCATGCCAGTGCTGCTGCCAGCATGTGCAGTGCTGAGAGCAGCAGGGGCCGCCCAAAGCCATGCACTGTGAAGATCCACTTGTTAAGGCTTGACATGGTGGCTCCCGTCAGCAACCACACCAACGCTGCCACAGCCACCCGGGCCCTGCCAGGTCGCCTGAGGACCTGGGGGCTGCCAGGGGACCACTCGGGGGGTCCAGCCACCCGAGCACTTCCAGTCACTGCTGCTGCTTCAGCTGAGGTCATCCTGCCTTCATGGTGCTCCGGAGGACAGCGGCACATCCGCACCAGTGGGGCTGGAGCAGGAGGTTAGCTCCCCTGTGACCAGCTCCGGACCACTAGAGACCCCAGCTTTGGGGTAAGCCAGATACTGTTTCTTGGGCCCTAGGCCAGTCTCAGGTGAGGTCACCGATGTGCTTCCAGGCCTTGGCCAGCAGTGTCTAGAAGCTAAGCTCACAGTGTTCCACAGATCTGGGAGAGCCGAGGTCGTGGCTGATGGCGGGGAACGCTGGTGTCCAAGCCTGGCCTAGGAAGCTCCGTTTACCTCTTTCCCCGGTGCCAGATGAAATTTCCGCTCTCTTCCTTGCCCAGCATTCACACTATGCTCTTCGATAGAATCCTTTTCCCTTTTTTCTCTTCCGTCCCCAGGCCGTGAGGGTGGAGAGCTTGATTCCCTGTCCCGAGAGCTCAGGCGGTGAGCAGGCCTGGCAGAGACGAGCAGGGCTCCGCGCCTGGTGGTACCCGGGAAGCCGCGGCTCACTACCTCCGATAGCGTCAGGGAGATGCAGCTGACACGCGGCCCGGCGCGTTCCGGCCAGTGCTAGGAGGTGAGCTCGGTTCGGCTCCCCAAGGACTGGCGCCTGGGCCGGAGATGTGCCTCCGGGGCTGTTCGACTGAGGCTGTGGCTCCTAGCTCCCGCCCGGCTTAAAGCCCAGCCCAGCCCAGCCCAGCCCAGCCCAGCCCAGCTCGCAGCCCCGCCTCCTCCGCGCCCCACCCGTAAAGTAGGGCTGAGACCCCAGCGCCGCCCCAGCCAGGACCCGCCCGGGAACACCGACGTCTCGCCCCGCCCCAAGGCCGCGCTCCGCAGCCCCGCCCCCATCGGCCGGGCGGCCCGCGAGGCTCCTCCTTCCTCCTCCGCACTCAACCGTTTAGAGACCCCAGTGCTCGGTACACTGGAGTATCCCGCAAAGCCGTCCACATGAATAGGGCACTGAAGAGGACCGAAGGGACGAGTTACAGGCTCAACAGATCCGCGGCCAGTTAAATTGTGTGACCTCAACATCGGGCAGAACAGGACCACAGGGTCCTTTATGGTCTTTCCGTCACCCCTTCTACCCAGCTTCCCTGCCTTCCTCCCAGCCCAGGGCGGCGCCCCATCTGGGGCAGCAGAAGGAAGCTGAATCACCAGGGCTGCCCGCAGCTGCGGAACCAGGGTACTGTCGCTGGCACCCATCCCTGACCAGCAGTCCCTGTTCCATCCTGGGCACTCAGAATCAACAAGCAGCTGGACGTCTGGGGTCCACCCCTTCCTCCAGGCTTGGTGAGACGGAGCCTGGCGCAGGGAGGCAAAGAGGGTCCCCAAGGCTTTGCCCTTAACCAGATTTCAGTTTTCGTATCCCACCCACCGACAGACTCTGAGTTTAGGACTGGGTAAATAGTGCCCCTAGAGGCGGTCGGGTTGACCCAGATTCCAGGCCCAGCCCTGGCCTCTGGAGCCCTGGAGTGCAGGTGAACAAGGACCAAGGCCCCAGCAGGAGCTCAGTGCCGGCTGCCAGCCCCTTTCAGCCATCGCGCTTCCTGCCCCAGCGGAAGAGCCACCCCGCCTGGACACAGCTCAACCTTTGCCTGTTGGTGGGCCAGCAAGTCCTTGATGACCCCAGCCGGAGTGGAGGAACTAGACCGCAAAGGAGAGCCGCCAAGCCCGTCCTGCTGCGCCCTCTGGTGGCTAGGCTCCCGAATGCCTGAGAACGGAGGCTACTCTAGCCCTTCTACAGCCTTTAGACACCCTTGGGGTGGGAGGTGGGGAGAGCCTAACGGGAGATCTAAAGAACCCGGCCTCTCTAGTGGGGCTGGGTCCAGGAGTCTGTGCTATCTTATTTGCCTCTGCTGAGCCTGACGTCTGCTGGAGCTGGTAGACTGCTGAACAGCCCAAATCTCAGGGCAGAGGGTGCGGACAAGGAAATTTCCAGGGGGCCGGGAAGATGGCTCAGTAGAGAAGGCGCTTCCCAGGCAAGCGAAAGGGCCTGAGTTCAATCCCCGGTTCTGAGGGGGGTAAAAAAAAATTCCAGGCTGAGGATAAAAACATGGGCCAGGGAGCTAGCTCAGTGGCATAAGTGCCTGCCTGGCGAGCGCAAGGTCCTGAATTTAATCCCCAATACCTGAAAAAAAAAAAATAGGGGAACAAGTAGAGGGACATGTAGACAGAGCTTCTCCTGCAGAAATTCTAAGAGAACCTGAACCAGCCAAGGAAGAAACTCCTACTAACACCACTATTTCTTGAGTAGGCAGAATCTGGGTCCCTCATGGGCTACAGCCTTTTTGAGATTTTTCTGTTTTCTTAGTGTTTCCTGCAATTAAAAAAAAAAAAAAAAACCTAATATGTAGAAACAAACAGGGTGTGACATAATGCATTCCTTCAATCCCAGCACTTGGGAGGTTGAAACAGGAGGATCCCAAGTTTGAGGTCAGCCTGAGCTACATAAGGAGAACTTGCCTCAATCTACTCGCCCTCAAAACAAAATAAGAACAATGAAAACACCCGGACCTTTTCAGAGCTGAGCTGGCAGGGGTGCAGGCAGTAAGACTCTGTCAACATCACCTTGAGAACCACCACACCCCTGGGTGTGGTAGCACACTTGTATAATCCCAGCATTCAGGAGGCTGAGACAGGAAGATCACTGAGACAGGAAGACCAGCCTGAACTACACAGTAAGACCCTATCTCAAAAAAAATAAGAGCACCACAATGTTGCTCCCAACTGCCTTGGCAGTTAAAGATGATTATCGATCCCCATGCCATGTTGGCCCTTCCCGCAGGGCATGCTGAGCCGACTAAGACTGGGTGTGGTGACGCAAGTCTGTAATCCCAGCACTTGGGAGGCTGAAAACAGGAGGATCACTACGAATATGATCTGTGCAGTGAGACCCTGTACTAAATACATTTTTTTTAAAAAAGGAAAGCAGATTAATACAGCAAGAAGGGGGGAGGGTCTTTGATAGAATAAAGAGGGCTGCGCACCCCTAGAGTGGGGGAATCTGAGGGGCAGCAGAGGCCATACTCAATGGGGACCCAGCAGGGCAGGGATACCAAAGAAAACACTGTGTGCTGCCAGGAAGGAAGGGCTCCGTCTCATCTGCTCCTCAGTTATCTGGAGGCATGTGTGGGAATGACTCCCTGACAGACTGAGGGCTTGGCTGAAGGAAAGCAGCCAGGCTCCCAGCACACGGGGGAATGATGGAGTCCAAAGGGCCCAGCTTTATGGAGGGCCAAAGGGGAGGAGAGGAACTCTGGGGGATGTTAGGAAAGGAGGAAGAGTCCACCTCTAGCAACTGGGCCACAGAAACTGTGGGACGGTCCTCTCATTGCTGCCTGATCCTGGCCTCAGGCTCTCGTGCGTTATCCATGACACAATCGTAGACATGGACATGCTATGAACCAAGACATCCCACAGCTCCGGGTTAGGAGACAGGCTTAGGAGTAGGAGTGGTCAATCGGGAGCCATTCAGGTCTACATGCAGGTGCTATAGTGTTATATCTGGATTCCCCCCCCCCCCCGCCAAAGCCTCACATGCTCATGGTTGGGGCTTTGAGGGTGTGCCACGCATGGGCGGATTAGTTCTCTGATGAGTTTATAGGTCAGTGTGATGCTGGGAGGTGAAGTCGTCACAGGAGGTGGTCACTGGGGGTGTGGCCCAGAAGGGTCTATCTCCCTCCCCCCTTGATCTCTGTTTCCCATCGCCATGACATGGACTGGTTCTTCCCTGTGATGCCCCCTCTGCCTTGCCACCTTTCTATGAAGCCAGTTGACAATAGACTGAAACTTCTACCAATAGAGCTGAAATAAACCTTTCCTCCTCTAATTTGTGGGTATCAGGGTATCCCAGCAATGAGAAAGTGCCTTAAGACAGCAGGCTAGAGGCAGCCTGGTCCCTAGGCCTGGAGGGACTGGGCTCTGAATATGTCCACTCATCCCTGGCTTCTTTTGTTCCTGCTACTTGTGCCAGACTAGATACATCACCCAGTGACTCAGTGGGTTAGGGATACAGACTCAGAAGGTAAAAAGGAGCTGAGGGCTTAAATTGTAAGGTGGCAGAGTCCTGGCTGGGAGCTGGACATAGTGGTGCACACTTGTAGTCTCAGAACTCTAGGAGGCTGAGGCAAGAGGATCCCAAGTTCAAGCCTAGTCTGCATAACTTAGTGAGACTCAGTCTCAATTTAAAAAAAAATGCTGGGGATACAGCTAGATTCAGTCACTAATAGTGAAAAAAGAAAAAGGAGTCTTGACTGAATTTACACCCAGAGGAACTGCAGAGATAGAAAAAGACTGAGGGTGGTAGAGGCGAGGAAGATCTAACCCTCAGCCTCAAGTTTCCTATCCTTCTAAGCCATGCCTGAGTGGATGGGCTGGGTCTTTCCAGTAAATATCCTTGGATTTGAGCAGGATTCAGTAGCTTCCTGCTCAGAGCCAACATACCCCAATGAAGACACTCCCTCATGGAGAGAGGTGCAACCCCAGCTCCAGACCCTTCAGCTTTCCTTGAGCCTGGCCCAGCCAGTCCCCTGAGTGGAAGGCCCCTGTTCTCAGGTGCCAAGGGGCAGGACAGAGGTATGGTAGCCAACATCTTATGCTGGGACCAATAGTGGAGGAGCTCAGCTCCTTCACCTATACACTGTGTGACGTCTCTGAGTCTCCATCCCCCTGTGACAAGGACGTTAGGGAGAGTCACAGAATGGGTCTTGATCTCTCCCCACCACCATGATTAAGGAGTGCAAATGAACAAGCAACCCATGGTCCTGGATTAAAGCATTTCACCTTAATGGCCAGTTTTCCAGGGCTTCCCGTGTCCTGTCTGTTCCAGCGTGAAAAAATGTTTTCTGTCATTTTTTTTTTTTTTAACGGAACCAGGGATTGAACTCAAGCCCTTGTGCTTGTCAGGGAAGTGCTTATTCCACTGAACCATCTCCCCAACCCCACTGTCACTTTCTTGCCTCACTACCCGACCTTAGGTATTTAAAGTCAGTGCCCCAGGAAGAGGCACGGATTTAACCTGCAGCTTCAAGGACGGAGTACATCACTTCCCAGCCAGCCCTAACACACAGTCCATCAAAGGAGAGGCCTTTTCCTAATCTTGGTAGGGGAAGGCACAGGAGATAGTTCCCTGGGCTGAACCCTACCCCCACTGCAAGAGGAGAGTCTAGAGCCTCAGCCACCCACTGAGAGGCCAGTCCCCATATCCTGGCTGTGGAGGCCTGCTGTGGTGCCCTGAGAATGCCTTGGCTATAAGGAGGGAGAGACCCAGGCCTCTAGTAGAACTGGGGCTCTGCTGTGCAATCAATACCCACTGAGGTCCTCAGTTTTGTGTCTGAGGAGAGGAGCCAGGTGGCTCCCCCAACTCACGCTTGTGGTTTCTTTCTTTCTCTCTCTCTCCTTCCTTCCCTCTCTCCCTCTTTCTTTCTTGCCTTTACATCACTAACCCTTTAAATTATTATTTTTTAATTTAGAGACAGAATTAAACTAAGTTATTAAATTGCCCATGCTGGGCTTGAACTTGCAATCAGCCTGCGTCAAGGTCCCGGAGTGCTGGGATTATTGGTTTGTACCACCCCATCTGGCTTTGTTTTTGTTGCTTTGAGCCTGCCGTGTTGCCCAGGCTGACCTCAAGCCCTGGACTCAAGCATTCTCCTAGCTTCAGCCTCTCCATCAGCGACATCATGCCCCACTCAGGCTCATGGCCATGTCCCCTGAGCCATGCTCGCTTCCTTCTGAGCATCACTGCCTTGTCTATGATCTTGAGTGAATCATTTTCCTTTTTTTTTTTTTTTTTTCTTGGCTTTTTGAGACAGCTCAGGCTGGTCTGGAGCTCACTTTTGTTGCCCAGGCTGGTCTTGAACTTGCAACAATCCTCCTGCCTCTGCCTCAGCCTCCCGAGTGCTGGGATTACAGGTGTGCGCCACCACACCTGGCTCACTTTTTCTTTTGTAACATTAATCTCTTTATCTGTAAATCAGAGATGAAAATAAAAATTATAAGGACCCACAGAGTTGTGCCAGCAGCATTTAGCAAGTAGGTGCTCAGGAAATGGCAGGGCTGCCCCAGCCAACGTCCTCCCTCCTCAATGCCAAGGTGAGTGCTCTCCTGTGCTGACCTCCTCCCCCTGTGGCACCTGCCCTTCTCTGCTGCCTGCCGAGGCTTGCTGAGGTGGAGGCACCAGCAGGCTGCAGCACATGCTCAGACAATCAAGACTTTAATAATTTCAGAGGTGGGCATCGAGCAACCTTGCCGAGGCCTCACCAGCCAAGCTCTAGGACCACCGCTTTGACAACAGATTAGAGACCTGGAGTCAGGGCTGTAGCCCCTGGGGCGTGAAGACCTCCTGGCAGGACCCCAGGCCCATGGCAGTTGTATTCACAATGTTGCGGCCAACAGACTTCCTTTCCTCCTCCTGTGGAGGAGTCTGAGAGCCACAGGTCCTTCACACCGAAGACTTCCTGACACCTGTGGGCCAGGGCCAGGCTTTCCAGGGGAGGTGCTTGGCACCCTGCTGCAGTGTGAGCTGAGGCTCAGATCCTCGCAGAGTTGGTAGGTGAGGTGACCTGGGGGACATCGTTCCAAATTCATAGGAGGTGGCTACAGGGTCAGGAAGGAGGACAGAAGCCTGTGGAGTATGCAAGACTGCAGGTGTGAGCTCAGGGCTACCAGCTAACCAGTCTTAGCTCGATGGTTTCTCCATCCTGTGGTTTGTATTCAGCAATACCTGCAGAAATACATGGAGTTTAGGGGCTTAGCAGGGCAGTGTCCTGCCCCCGAGTCTCATCATCTGGAGCCCCACCCTGAAGCCAGAGTGCAAGACGCACTCAGGGCTTGGTGGTAGGAAGCTGGGAACTGTCCAGAGCCAATTTTGTTACGGCAGCCTGAACAGAACAAAATAGGAGGAAACTCAAAATGATAGAGCATAGAAGTGACTTCTGCCTTTGGTTCATTGGGAAAATAAATGAGAAGAAATGTCTAGCTAAGTCTCTTCTTTTTCTTCAGCCCCCAGGGAGGCTGAAGAGATTGAAGGTAGAGGACAGAACTTCCAGGAAGGAAAATACACAAAGCAAGTCTTAATAATTTTACACTGACTGCATCTTGGAATAATGATTTTTAAATATATTGAGTTAAATAAGATATGTTTTTTAAAAAGATATGTTGGGGCCCAGGGGTATAGCTTAGCAACACAGCACCTGCCTGGAAAGTGTAAGGTACTGAGTTTGATCCCCAGTACCAAACAAAAAAGTAGAGGAAGAGGAAGAGGAAGAGGAAGAGGAAGAGGAAGAGGAAGAGGAAGAAGAAGAAGAAGAAGAAGAAGAAGAAGAAGAAGAAGAAGAAGAAGAAGAAGAAGAAGAAGAAGAAGAAGAAGAAATAATGTTGTTAGTATTAGTTTCAGCATCTAGAAATTTTTATTTTTATTTATTTATTTTTTGATACAGGGTCTCACTGCTCAGTTCAGACTCATAGCGATCCTCCTGTCTCAGCCTCCCCAGCACTGGGATTACAGGCATGCACCACTACGCCAGGTTTTGGGGCTGGCATGACATGCAGTACCAGGGATTGAACTCCAGCCCTTGCGCTTTCCAGGCAGGTGCTTATGTTGCCGAGCTATCTCCCCAGCCCCAAAATTTTAAATTACACACATTACTGTATCTATTAAATATAATCTATAGGAGGTGTGGCTTTTGTTTTATTTTGCCTTGTTTTGTGTCAGGGTCTCACACTGTAGTTCAGGCTAGTCTTGAACTCACTATGTAGCCTAAACTGGCTTCAAACTCATGGTGACCTTCCTGCCTCAAGCTCCTGCATGCTGGGATTACAGAGGTGTGCCACCATGCCTGGCAAATTTACTTATTTTTAAAAATATCAGCCAGGTGTACAGGTGCATGCCTGTAATCCTAGAATTTTGGAGGCAGAAGCAGGAAAATGGCAAGTTGGAATCCAGCCTGCGAAGTGCAAGGATTTAGCAAGATTCTGATGACCCTGAATTCAATCTCCAGTACTGGAAGAAGGGAGAGAGAGAGAGAGAGAGAGAGAGAGAGAGAGAGAGAGAGAGAGAGAGAGAGAGAGATCTGAAGAATTGCTGGTGGAGAAGGGAGAGCAGAGCAGAGGAGACACAGGAAGGAAGACAAGCTGGGTGGGGAGTTGGCAAAACCTTGCTGCTGGTCACGTAGGAGTAGAGATGGGTGGCAGCCACCAGACTCACCTTGTAGCAGAGGGATGTCAGGGACTTGGAGGAGCTGCCAGAACTCTCGGTCTCCAGCTACTTTACCCATCACAGATGTCAGGAAGGGACCATACAAGGAGGCCCGGGTTCCATACCTAGCAGGGGGAAGGTAAGGAGAGGTGACTGTCATTCCCAGGGGGAGAAGTGGAGCTCACCTGCACCAGCACAGAAATCTTGCCTTGGCCTTCAGGGCCAGCACTAGCCAAGCCCCTCCTGGGCCATCTCACTATAGATCCATGGGTCTTCCCTCCACCCTGTCATCTTCAGCCCCATTGACACTGCCCACTCAGGTGTCACCCTCTGTTGACTATGATGTGGCCTGAAGGAAGAGACACCTATTATCAACCCAGCAGTTGGGAGGGTGAGTAGCAGAGGCCTGTGGCATCTCACAGAAGCCACTGTGCAGTAGGAGAGGGGGAGGCCAGTGCACAGAGGCACAGGGACATGGGGGAGAGAGGCAGAGAGACACCAGTGGCTGCAGTGGGTCTCTTGTTCTGGAAATTTCCAGGGTTCAGGGGCATTTTCTTCTTGGAGAAGGATTGCAGTCTGCTCTGATTTTACACAATCCACACTCCCCATTTCTAGAGAGATCCCAGCACTTTTGGAGACTGAAGCAGGAGGATTGTGAATTCAAGCCCAGCTTGGGCTACTTAGTGACTTAGTGAGACCTTGACTCAAAATAAAAATTAAAAATGGGTTGAGGATGTGGCTCAGCTTGAAGGTTCTGGGTTTTAATCTCCACCACCAACCCCTGCCATCCCCAAAACACCAACCAAACCAACCAACCCAGAAGCTCACTTGGAGGGACTGTATTTGCCTATTTCCTAAGCAACCCCAAGGAGGCTTCTGGGTGTGTGTGTGTGTGTGTGTGTGTGTGTGTGTGTGTGTGTGTGTTTAAAGGGCAAGAGATTGGTCCTAGGCATTAAATCTTTTGTTCCAGGGCCCTCCTCTTCCATGGATACCAAGACCTACAGATGCTCAAGCCCTTCGGTAAGATGGCCTAGTATTTGCATAAATCCTATGTAAATCATCTCATACACTTTAAGGCATCCTTAGATGACGTGTATGTACTAATACAAAGAAACACTATGTAAATGGTTGCTACAGGGTATTGCCTAGGGAACAACGACAAGAAGAAAGTCTGTTCGTGTTCAGTACAGACACAACTTTTTTCCTAACATTTTCAGTGTGAGGCTGATTAGCTCTGAGAACATGGAACCTGTGGATGTGAAGGGTCTGTATTGTTTCAAGCAATGTCTGCGATCAGCCCCTGTCCCGGCTCCTTTGATTCTGCCAGGCCACGTGGCAGCTGTGGGCCACTTCTCTTCACCTTAGTCTGTCTCCACAGTGCAACTTTCTTTGCTGAAAATTCTCAACCCTCCCACGTGGCTCCTAAACTCAGCACAGTCACCCACCTGCACTGCAAGAGAACGCTTTCTCAGGTGGGCGTCCACCATGGTTTCTCAGAGGTTCTCAAGCTCTGAAGAAAGAACATGAAACTGTCTTTGCTTTTCCTTTTAATGACAATATCCAAACACGAGTACCAGTAGGCCATTGGGCTTAGCTGGACCAAGGTGCTCAGCGGGTGAGCATAGCTGCGGAGGCTGCACTTGCCACCAGCAGTACCGCTCTGCGCTGCAGAAGATGAGCAGGAAGGGAGCCAGGTAGCAGGTTTGGCAGTGAATGCAGCATTTGGTGGGGAGGAACCAGCCTGTACGGTGGGGGCTTCACTATAAGAAGAGGAGATCACCAGGCCTCGCAGCGTCAACCTAAACTCCTGCTGGTGGTCCCTATCTGAACATTATTGCTTTTTCTACTTTTTTTCCTGTTTAATTTGTAAAGTTGTTTAGGATTTATAGCTGCCTAGAGGAAGAAAGAGAAAGGGCTTGATATTTAGATAAACCTAGTAATACACATCCAAGTCATTTTAGAGAAAAAATTCATTTAGCTTAGGGCCTGGGAGAAGTTTGTTTGAGACTGGGTCTCACTATGTAGCCCAGGCTTTCTAAAATTCATGGTAATCCTCCTGCCTTGCCCTCCTCAGGGCTGGGATTATAGGTATGTGCCACTGTACCTGGCCTTTAGCAGGATGCTTTTTCTGGGAATTCTGGTTGGGGCAGAAATGAAGGTCCTCTCTTTCTAGGGAAGTCAAGGCAAGAGGCGACCTAACGGAAGGCACTCAACTTCTCTACACCAGAGTCTTCCCTGGTGACATGAGAATCATACTCGTCTTACTTAGGTGTGCTGATCTTGATGTGCTCTTTCTCAGACTTGCCAAATCTTACAGTGAGAAGCAAGTTTGTTGGTTTGCTTCCAATTCAGGGCGTGAACCCGTGGCCTTGGCACTGAGTTACACCTCCAGCCCTTTTGTAGTTTTCATTCCGAGTCAGGATCTTGGGGAGGGGGTTGGTGGGGGAGGGGAGTTGCTACGCAATTCAGGCTCTCCTTGAACTCACTGTGGAGCTCAGGCTAATCTCAAACTCACAGACATCCTCTTGCCTCAGCCTCCTGAATGCTGGGGTTATAGGCACAAGCCATTATGCCTGTCTTTTTAAAATTCTTATGCTATAAAGCCTGACTTGTAGTGAGTGCTTAATGTAGGCTGGACCCTGTGCACAGGAAAGGCAGTGCCAGGATCTCTAAGTGCACGAAATCCTGGGCTTCTCATATTGGTCCTGTGAGGCGGGGGCACACCCACTACCCTCACTGAGTTTGGGAACCCTCACTGGAGAGCTCAGGAGCCGGGTTCCAGCGCAGGGCCTCTGCCTCTAGAACCTACTTTCTTAATGACAATGCTGACCTACAGTTCCAGTTTCCATGACAGCAAGCCTGACAAAGAAATACAGAAGGGGGAAGCAGTGCTGTTCCCGTTCCCAAGAGAACCCTCTTTGTCCTCTGTCCCCTGTTCTTCCTGTAATTCATTTTCAGGTATGTGGGGTTGATGGGGTAGGGTTGGGAAGACGGGGTTGCTCACGTGAATTCTCCTAGCTCCTGGGCTCTACTCAGAACGTCTTCCAAAGTGGACCCAGACACCATTGGGATGGTTTTATGGTAGGGCGGCAAGACGCTGGAGACCTTCAGCGTAACACTGATGATCTCTGGGGTGTGGCTGAAGGAGGGATCCTCAGGAGCTGCTACCAACATCACTGCACCAGGGAGAGAGGAAGGGCAGTTGGTGTGAGGACAGGGAGCCCGGATGTGAGTCTTCCTTCTTCCCTGGAAGATGCTACAGCCCATCTGGACCATGTCCTCCCCACGTCCTCAGCTCAATGCCATGACCATCTGCTCGGCCAAAGCCTGGCTGTCACCCCAGCTTTCCTTGTCACTCAGCCTCCACATCCCTCCACCCTCCCAAGGTCAGGTTCCTCATTCTTTTCTCTGCTTTAAGAATCTCCCTCCCACTTATCTGCCACGTTATGTACCTCAGAGGACTCCCTCGAGAACATATATTTCTTCCTGTCACTTACCTATCACCTCTAATTGCCTCTTCTCATTATTTTGTTTTATTTTTTGCAGTGCTGTGAACCAAACTCAGGGCCTTGTGCATGCTAGGCAAGTGCTCCATCACTGAGCTGCGTCCCCAGGCTTCAGTTCTCTGTTCTTCTGCCTGCCACTCTTGCTCACTCCCCCCATGGACCTCTCACTCTTTTGCAAAATGTTCCCCCAAAGTCTCTACCTCTCTGTGCTTTTGATCTTGCTGCTTCCCCTCTGCTCTGATCTCCCTTCTCCACTGGCAATCCCACAAATCTCTTCAAATCATTGTCTCTCTGTCTCTCTGTCTCTCTGTCTCTCTGTCTCTCTGTCTCTCTGTCTCTCTCTCTCTCTCTCTCTCTCTCTCTCTCTTTCTCTTTTTCTCTCTCTCTCTTGAAACAGGGTCTCATACTATATTATTCAGGTTGGTCTTAAACTCACTATGTAGCCAGGCTGGCCTCCAACTTGCAGCAATCCTGCCTTAGACTCCCAAGTCCTGGGGTTACAGGCTGTGCCACCACACTCGGCAATAAGTGAAAAATTTAAAGGGAAGTTTTGTTACTTTAACGAAATATTAACTATATTATATATTTTATATGCAGCCCAGGACAGTTCCTCTTGACTCAGTGCAGCCCTGGCAAGTGAGACCTCTGTTACAGAAGCTGTGACCATAATTTAGCTACTATGTCCCCCCCACACACACAAATTCATGTGACCCCAGCAAATCAAGGCTGAACAACCTCCCCTCACTGGGACATGCAGACATCATTGAATTCTCAGCAAACTGTAAAGAGCTTGGCTACCTCTTGGTGCCTGGCAGTCTGGGGAGATGAGGTCCACATAGGTCTTGAGGTTCAAGACAGGCAAGAGCTGGGAAATCATGACAGCATTCTGGAAGGTTTTATCATGCAGGCTGCCCAGCAGAGCTGCCCTCGCCTTAAGGCATGCAGTGCCCAGCTTCGCCCCAGACATGGGAGAGGATATTAGGAACTGTGAGAGGTAGAGCAAAACGGGATGAGGTGAACCAGTCAGCATGTGGGGAGCCAGATCTTCCAGGCCCTGACCAAGCCACCCCACCCCTCATTTCCGGTGGCCCTCCCCCCAAGGATGACCAGGGCTCCGGGATCAGTTTCCCACCTGCAGTGCCAGTGCAGTGCTATACATATTCCCGAAGTAGCCCTCAGGGGTCTGGGCCTTCAGGATCTTCTCTTGCACTGTCCTGATAGCCGTGGAGATCTGGTGTCTTAGATTGGGGTTGAAGTAAGAGAGCTCCAGACAGGTAAAGGCCAAGCCGGCCATGGCCATTGTGTCTAGGAAAAGGAGGAACAGGACCTATGATGAGCTGGACACCCACACCAGGCCATGCAGGGCCCTAGTGTTGTGGCAATGGGCAGCCACAGGAAGGCTTGAACAAGTTTTAGGTACTCTCAGAACAGTGAGGGACACCAGTTCAAGTCTGGACACCGAATGGCCTACATCCCAGGAAACCTCTCAGTCCTGGGCAAGCTGGGTTCATTGGTTATGCTAGTCCTTGCAAGGTTGGAGTTTGACAGAGGGAGGCCCATGGGACATCCTCCTCTCCCATACCTGGCTGCAAGATGGGGAAACCCTGGTGGAGCTTTAAAGAAAGTGCTGACTTCACACAGTCTGATTTAATTGGGATAGGGAGCTGCCTGGGCTCTGGGATTTTTAAAGCCCTGTCACCCTCTCCTGATGATTTCATAGCCACAATATGTTTTCTTTTCTGCCTTCTTCTTCTTTCTTTTTTTTTTTTGGTGGCGGTGGTGGTGAGAATTGAATCCAGGACCCTTTTCATTTTTATTTTAAGACCCTGTCTAAGTTACCAAAAGGGGCCTTGATCTTGTTATTCTCTTGCTTTAGACTCCCAATTAGCTACCTTTATAGGCGCACACCACTGTGTCTGGCTCCATGCCGATTTTCCAAGGACTCTGAGGCAAAAACAATATCCCTGCTGGCAAGGACCCCGCTCTGCCCCCTCCACTTTCGGCATCCTACTCCACCCTGTGCAAGGAACACACTCATTCGTGGAATGTCAGGCCTAGAAAAGACCTTGAAGAACAATGACCAGAAATGGAAATGGCGGCCTAAGATCATGCAATAAGGAAGCAAATCCTAAATCCAGTTCTCAGCTTCTTGGCTTGAATGGTGCTGAGAGCATGTTCCAAGCCCTTTACTTGCCAGGTATCCTTTACTGATAGCTTTTAGGTAGTCATTTGATAGGTAAAGCCACCTGACTTGCCCAGGAGGTCCTACGGTGAGCGCATGATGGAGCTAGGGTCAGGATCACAACCATCGCCCACACTTCAGCCCCTCCTCACTTCACTCTAAGAGATTTGATAAGCAGGGGTCTTGGGGAAAGGTAAGTGTGAGGCCAGTTCATGGAGTTCTTCAGCTGGGGTCAAGGGATGAGGGAATGCAGGCCCAGCCTCAGCAGGGCTTGCCCCACTCACCCACTGAGAAAGGGTCCAAGTGGAGGTGGTGGTCATGTTCCATAGCATACAGGAGCTTGTCGACCACTTGGTCATGGACCAGCTTCTTGTGGACACACAGGGCCAGGATGCTGAGGCCATACTGGTAGTAGCTGGTATGGGGATGGCCTTTGTGACTGTGTCCTGGGATGGAGAAAGCCATGGGGTGGCATGTTATGACAGGCCTGACCACTTGCCTCTGCCCCTTCCCAGCAGGCAGCCAGCACAAGTGATGCCACTGCTTTTGCTCCCCAATATGGCACTTTGTTGGAGAGCATGAGATCCTTCACTGCCTCAACTGGTCCTGGCTCACACCCACCAGAGCATGCTGGGGACCGAACTGTGGGCCTGAGGTCCCTGGAGCCACATGACAGAGGGCTTTGAATAACTTGGAATCCAGACAAGATTTCTTAAGGAAGTGACACTGAGAGTGGCAGGAGGAAAGGGCAGAGCAAGATTGAGCTAGAAGGGGAAGGAGAGAACATGTATGAAGACCATGGCTCGTGTGCTAGAAGGTCAGTGTGGTCAGTGCACACAGAGAGGTTGGTGAGTGCGTGAGCAGAGCAGAGCTTAATGAGAAGAGAGAAGCAGACAGAGTGGCCTTAAGGCTGTTAGCAAAGCAGTGAGGGGCCCCTGTGGGGGTTCAGCAGCACTAACAAGATAGGATTTAGGTTGAAAAGCCCTACTCTGGCTACTATGGGCAGCATCAGGAAGTCAGAAAGTTGGTAGAAGAAGGGGCTACAGAGCAGGCAACTGAGGAGGTGTACAGGTGTCCTAGAAGGTGAGCACAGTGAGCTCAGGTTAGGTGGCTGAGCATCAGGACTGCCTGACAGAGTGTGGATGGGATGGGGTTCAGGAAGGCTGCTTAAGCACGGCCCTTGGAGCAAGCAAGAACACCTAGTTGGAGAGTGAGGTAGGTAGAACGGAGAATGGAAACAAGGCTTGGGGGAAGACGTCCGAAGTTCTAGTTCTCACCAAGAACACCACTTAGTAAGCCCTCCTAGCCCCTGCCCCTGCCCAGCAGATGGTGCCCCCTCACCGATGGCGCTCTTCTCTTCCTCCAGGTACCACTTGAGCTGTGAGACCAGCCTGTCGCCCTTGCGGCCCCTGATGAACTCGCAGTTGGCCCTGAGAGCGAGCATGTAGAGGGCCAGCTGGCCCATGGAAGGCTTGGTGGAGCAGTCACTGTTGACATCCCTGGTGGTGGGGCTAGAACAAGGCCAATTAAGAACTGTTACCAACTAAGAACTACTAACACTTTGGTGAGCCTGGCTTAGGATATTCTACACATACATCACAAAGTGGGAAAAATGCTAGTAGTTGGAAACTTTGCTAGAGCTTCCAAAAGTAAGGTGTGGTCAGCTATGTTCTTCTGAGGTATATGTCACAGATGTTTAAACAGATGAAAGATCAATGCAAAGAGAAATTCTGAGAGCACTGGCATTTAGATTACCTGGATTTGCCCCATGTTCTGGCCATACTTCATCCTTGCACCCTTCCCTTTGTATCCTTTCCCTACCCTAATCCACTCCTCGAGAGGAAGCTGCTCTTGATTCTTCAAAGTTCATTGAAACACCAGAACAGTCCTCTCCTGATTGCTCCTTGGAAAAAGAGCAGAAAGACACTGCTTCTGGGCTGCATATGAAAGAATGCAGTAATGAATTAGTGATGTCTGCCTAATGCACAGGAATGAAACAAAAACACAGTCATGGGGGCCGTGGAGATAGCTCAGTAGGATAAGCACTTGCCTGGCAAGCGCAAGGGCCTGAGTTCAATCCCCAGTTCTGCAAAAAAAAAAAAAAAAAAGTCATGGATTAATGATGTCTGCCTCATACACAGGAAGGAAGCACAGTCAGGCACTACTTCTGGGATCAGTGCAAGAGTACAGTCGTAGATTAATGATGTCTGCTTCATACACAGGAGGGAAACAGAGTCCAGAGCTGCTTCCCAGATCAGGATGAGTGTGGCTATGGATTAGTGATGTCTGCCTCAGGTAGAAGAGGATGGCAGTAGCAGTACAAGGTCCCTGTACTAGCATCTCTGATTTCATCCTACAGACTTCTTCCTTCTATAGACAGAGAAAGACCCACAAGAGACAAAAGTTGCCTGATGTTGCCAATATAGTAGTGACAGGCCAACATCAAAATCCAGGCCTCCTGTCTCTCAGGTGTGAAGCAAAACATGGGGGAAAAAAAAAAAGGAGAGAGTGCAACAATACCCTAGAAGGCACTGTTGATAATAGAGCTTGAGGCTGTGCAGGTAGAACTCTTCCTTGCTCCCGGCCTGCAGGCTGGAGAGGCGCAGGCCCACATAGATGCTGGGGTTCAGGTGCTCCCAGGACAGCTTGTTCATCCAGGGTAAGAGGTGTTGGCCAAGACGCTCCACCAGCTTACTATCCAACGGTGGTATGACTTAGAAAGGAAAATGGGGCATATAAGGTTGTAGGCCACGTCATTAACAAGCAACTGGATCATGTCTGCATCTTGTACTATGAATAAATACTACAAAGACAACAATATAGAATGTATTAATTATTATGACTGTCCTACTAACCTGTTTTGAAACTGTCTCATTGCTATTTGTTTCTCAATAAAATTAGTAAAAAAAAAACAAACAAACAAACAAAAAAAAAAAACAAGCAACTGGCTTGGCCTTACCTGGACCTTCCCCAGGAGATGAATAACCCTACTCCCATCTTCACCCCATAAATATCCCACTTACATGATTATACTGTAATGCAGTGAATAAAGGGGGAAAGCAGATGTACTCAAAAAGCAGTTGGAGTGTGGCAGGAGGAGGGATTATGCTGAGGGCAAAGGATGCTACAGCCCTCCTCATGAGGAGTGACAGTGAGGTTGGGTATCGAGCCAGGTGCTATGCCGCAGGCACTGCGCTCCATCTCACTTGACGTGCAATACAGGTACAGGCATCACTGCTTTGAACAAAAGAGGAAACAGAAGTTGGAAGGCACATTGCACCTTATACAAGGCTACAGGGCTGGCGATTTAGCTCAGTGGCACTGCACTTGCCTGGCAAACATGAGGTCCTAGGTTCAATTCTCATAGCCAAAACAAAAAAGAAAAAACAAAACAATCAGTCAGGGATATGGCTCAGCGGTGTAAGTGCCTGCCTGGCAAGCTCAAGGCTCCGAGTGTGATCCCCAGTGCCCACCCCCCAAAAAAGACTGCAAAGCTAAAGAAGGGTCTGACGGCAAACATCTGGTTCTTTGGTACCTGAATGCATGTCCTATACATCGACAAGAACTTTAGCCCCACCCAGCATTTGAGATGCATCCAATTTCCAAACACTGCAGAATGCTCGCTGGTTCACCAGGGCTGTGCCGTCAACCTCCTCCATGCAGATCTCAAAATGATGCTTTTCCTGCCATGTCACCTCTGTGTTTAAGTAAAAATGGCTAGCTACAGTCAGCCACTTGTGCCCCCGAATGTACTTGAAGTTGTGTAATCAGGAAACTAAAATACTCTGGAGGTGGAAGCCTCAGGGCTATTTCCCAGCTCTGGTCAACTACTGTTTCCTGTCTGGGGAAGGGAACTGACCTCAGCACAGGGTTACTTAGGCTGGCACACAGGCACTTTGGACTTTTCTTTCCCTTTCACTGCCTCACTGCTTTTCAATCACTGCCAGCTATAGTTTCCCAATGACCATGGTGACCTCTGCTGTGCCACATCCTAGAATGCCAGGCAGGATCCCCACCCCCCACCCCAGGGAAAAGAACTGGGGGGGGGTTGTTGTTGTTGCCATTTTTGCGGTATCAGGGATTGAACTCAGGACCTTGCACATGCCAAGCAGGTGCTTATGACTGCTGAGCTATATCCCCGGCTCAGACAAAGAACTGTTGCAGAGTATTTTGCCTGTCTCCTGGGCTTCCTGGCACAAGGACCAGTTTCTATCTCTCTATCTCTCAGAGTTTGGATCTCACCCACTTAGACCAGTTTTCCCAAAAGTCGCAGTTATCTGTTATTACTGGGTGACCATTCACTAGTTTAAAACTGGTGTCAACAAGGCTTTGTTCATAGCACCTGCCTGGCAAGTGCAAGTTCATGAATTCAATTCCCGGTACAAAAAAAAAAAAAAAAGAAAGAAAGAAAGAAAGAAAGAAAGAAAGAAAGAAAGAAAGAAAGAAGAAAGAAAGTCAGGCAGGCAGATCTTGGCTCTAGGACTTTCATAAACTTTGCAAATTGTCTTACTTTTCTTGTTGCTGAAACAAAGTGCCTAACACCCAATGTCAA